GGTCTGCTTTGTCACACGAGTCCCAGGGTGGCAACGTTTACAGTGGCCCTAAGGCACTTCCAAGTGATCTAATCTTCTTGAATCCTGCCTTCTTTGTGTGTAACTTTATGCCATCTTTTCTGTTAGAAATTCTTCTCCTGTCTTTTAACATTCCTGTCTTTCTGCAGCTCTCCCAGAAGGTATTGTAGAGAAAGGTCAACTCTCTTAACACAGTTCCTGCCTACATTTCAGCTAATGTACTGTAGCACATTATCAGATTTCCAAACAATTGTTTGGTTTTTATTAGAATGTGCTAGGTTTCTCTCTTTCCGTAGCGTTAGTAAAAAAATATATAAAAATAACAGTGTTGAGTTGTTGACTAGTAATAGGAACAAGCAACCCATTGCCCTGAGAAGTGGGATGGAATTGATTCCTGTTATTAAAAACAGACGGTGTGCTGGCCACCATGCATGCGGGAGAAGGGTTAACGCTGCAAATGTGTAGCTAGCAAATACCCTGAATATCTGCCTTCCCTAATGATTTATTTTCAGTTTCTGAGGCACCATCTCAAATAACATGGTGTCATATTGGTGTGTGATGGAACCTCAAGGTGCTAAGTGAAGAACACTGACTCGAACCAGAAAAGGGCAAATTTCTTCAGAGGCTGAGAATTTAAACTGCCACATTTGCCATATCTTTCTCCTGGAAAGGAAAAGAGAATGGTGTAATGGCTAAGATAATACCTCTGTCAACAGCAAGGGTAAGGATAGCAGGTGGTATTCAGATTTGACTCTGGTTTGTTTTTTATAAAAAAAGACTTGAATTGGGAGTGAATGGCGTGAATGTTAATGTACATCAAAGGACTGAGAAGGACCCAGTGAGGGTGGAGGTCTGACAAGTGGCATGTTGCCAGGGACTCCACTAGGGGACAGAGAGAGCATGTATGGGTTGCAGGAGTACTAGGTGGGCTATAAGTAATAAATTATTGTTACTCTGTAGAGACACAATGTCATGGACTGGCTGGGAGGCACCAGCCTGGGGAACCCCCAAGGGAAGAAGGCTCAGAGCCAGGGGATTAGTGGTGGGAGGACAATGAATAGTCAGAGGGAGAAGAGGGAGCAGATGGGAGGAGGGTTTAGTGAGAAGGAAGCGGTTGCGGCAGAGAGCAGTGCCGCATAAGAGGCAGAAGCAGAGGCTGGAGAAAAAGGGAGCCAAGAGGCAGAGATCAGGCAGGCTTCTGAAGAAGCCAGGGAATCTCCCCCTCTTGCTGCAAACAACTCCCCTCCGCCTGGTCTCCCAGAACCTGAAGAGAGTCTCAGGTTGCCTGGGAAGGACCCGGGGGAGGAGACTTAGAGAGCTGTGGGAAGGTGGGGACCTTCAGTCCTTACAACTGCCTCACTGGGGCAAGACCTACTGGAAAGAGTTGCTGTGCTCACTGGGCCTGAGCGGCTTTGTTTCTTTGAATAAAGACGTAGCTTCACTGACACCTTCTGAGTTATTGCTGAGCTCCCCAGAGGTGGACACATGAGGTGGTTACTATAATGCCCCACTGCTGGCTTTTGATGAGAAGACGGAGGGAGCTCACACCAGATCCCAGGCCACTGTGGACTTTCCCACTCCTCAAGTAGCCAGTGGGGAAGGGTTAAGCAGACATAGGAAGAAGGGTACCATATTGTTGGTCTCGTTATACTCTTAGTAACAAATAATAATATAAAAGAGGCGGGTAGTCTTGTAATGAGCTACATCCATGATAACAAACATGGTAGCACTCCCCCTTTCTCCCAACAAATGTCACCAGCCAGGGCATTTTCAATGCCAAGGCCAGGCCTCCAACCACGCTAGAATGGATTCAAGTATTCAGTTTGCTCTAAGCATGCCTGAAACTGGACTGCCACCATCTTCTTGAACACCTTGCTTCAATATTCACCACTGGATGCTGGTTGCCAAGCACCTAAGGGTCCAGGAAGGTCTTGTTAAGAAGGCAGCACACCACTGCCTCCTTCGAGGCAGATAGTTCTTCCCTCTCCTCCGCTGAAGCATTAATCACTCCCTGGACCCACCCAATCAATCCCCTAACGCAGGGGTCTGCAAACTTTAAGACAAAAGGAGCCACTTGGACCCGTTTCCGAAGGGGAAAAAAACCTGGGAGCCGCAAAACCATTGCGACATTTAAAGTATGCGCGCCACTGCCCTCCGATCTGACAGCAGGCGGGAAGGTGACGTCGGGACGGTGCGTGACTAACGCACGCACCGCCCCCATGCAACGTCACAGCCAGTACAGCGCCCGCCACAGTGGGGAGTGTCGGGGCGCACAATGCAGCTCCTCCCCTCACTAGTATCCGCCCCGGAGCCGCGGCAAAGGTGTAAAAGAGCCACATGCGGCTCCGGAGCCGCGGGTTGCAGACCCCTGCCCTAACGCTAGCTCTAAGAAGCCAAGATGATCAAGTAGCAGGTGGTTGGCCACACTTCTTCAAGCAGTTTGTACATATCAAGACGCAATAATCAAAACTGATCCAGTACAGGTCAAATAGCATTACTATACTATTTAAAATATGGGTTGATAATATGCAGGTACTAATGGAAAATATGGTTCCTACCAGCTGCACGAGGTTAGGCTCAATGACTGCTGGGTCATTACAGTATTAGCAGGGTTCTACGCAACCCGGTTCAAGTCAACTTCATTACCAAGTTTTTCCCACTTTTTAATCACAGTCACATTTGTCCACTTCAATTTTTACAAATTCATCTGCAGAAATATCAACCCAATCACTTGGAAAACATGAAAATTAATTTTGTTTAGACCTAAGGGTTCTTCCCATGCTGACACTATTATTCAGTGGGCCAGGGGTGGGAGAGTGGCAAAGGAGAAAGAAGTCATAATGGAACTAGCGAAAGGAAAGGAATGTTTAAAGGAATAGCATATCCCAGCACAGGACAGCAATTCTAATTTTAATCGTATTCACCAGCTAGAAGACGCATGTGAATATATCTGAAATATTGTCAGGACCCAGAGTATGTTTCTTCATCATTGTCCATTATAGGAATCTCACTTTCAGATACTGGTGGGCCCCCTTCCACACAGCCACTTGTATCCATATCTGGTACACCATAACAACTCTCACAGTCCCTTCCCTATTTATCTTAACCCTTGGTATGTACCCTTGGTGTGTTGAACCCTTAAAAAAAGAAAAGAAAATGGATGCGCTGAAAACTTAAGTGTTCTCCAGAAACAACCAGAATTAAATCCAGAAGTGAATATTGTTAAGTCAATGAAGTAAGAACACCTAACTCTGTGAAATATTGCAGGCAATGTCTTCAGAACCATTCTTATTTATGAAATAAGAATGAAAAGTAAATTGTGTTGATTGTGTTTCAAACTCCCTGCCATCAGCTGTGAAGGCTGTAAATTGGTATAAAAGGAACGCAGGACATATTCAGCCTAATAATATTATGTAATATGGCAACTGATAGGGCCATTGCAGGAAAAATACTTGTGAAGGGAAGCAATTTTGCAGCAAAACGAGTCTCTGTAGGAATAATGGTAAATGGGGATGACGGTAGAAGCACCAACTTTGTGCCCTCTCGGTTCTCAGAATTTTTTTTGCTGTAGTGAGCAACAAGTATGATACGAAGTTACCTTGAGAACTTATCTTTCTGTTGGGCTAACTGATCTGCCCTTAACTACAATTACTGTTCACCCAGATTAGGAGTGCTAACCTCTGGGCCTATCCACCGCAAAGTCCTTGAACATTTAAGCACTGGGAGATAACAGTCCTCCTTCATCATGAAGGGGCCTGTCCAAATACCATTCAACCGGTGCCAGAAGTGTTTGTTAACACTCTGTGATAACAGTCTAATCTGAAAAAGTCCTAACGCGTTGCATAGAAAATATTAACTGTAAATCGTATGAGATTTGCAAATCAGGATAGATTTCCTTTCGTAACTTTTCTGTGCTTTTAGCATTTTGCTGCCATGTTTATTATCTTGCAGCTTCTTTTTTCCATTTCTATCACTCATCTCTCTCAGCTCTTCTGATTTGGTTTCATGGCCCCTAAATGCTAGACCTCTTGTGCCCTTTTGGAAACATCTCCTGGTTCTTCCAGCTGGGTTGAAAGCTCTCCACCATTTGACAGCTGAATTGAAAAATATATAAATTGTTTAGGGTGGTCCAAAACATACCCCATTATTTTGTAACAGTTATCTGTTCTGCAAATGTATTTATATGCATGCAGGCCAAATAAGCTATTATTGGATTATTAGCAATGGCAGGGAGCAGATGTTATAAACTGCAATCACATGTATGAGCAAACAGCCAGTCAGCTTTGGATGAAACAATCTGAAAACAGCAGCTAACCCTGGAAATTATACTTAGGATGAATTTATGCAGAAACATTTTCATTCTGCTGTGTCCAAACTAGGATACTGTCAGTACATACCTCCCTCTGAGGACAAGAGCTTCCTTGTATGGAGTGCTAGACTCTTCTTTAGTCTTATCTTCCACAAAAGTTAGGGTTGGTTACACATTAAGAAAAATGGGACAGGCCTTAGATTGGAGGGGACCTTCTGTAAAGTTCCTTTGGTGGGACTTCTCTTACACTGGTGGTTCATTTTGGATTGGTGGTGGTGGTGGCAGCAGCTGAGAGCTGTCATCTAAATTTCCCACAATCCCCCAGGTGATGCTATGTCAGGTGCATTGTGGCAAATTTAAATAGGCAGCTTTTAGACACAGATGCTGTTTCAAAGTGGGGTGGGGGGGGCTTTCTGGGTCCTTGGGCTCTATAATCTGCCCACAGGTGATGTATACTGACACCAGGCCTGTAGATAAGTAATGAGTACAGAGTTCTTGGGACAGTTTAATTAGAGTTATGCCTAAGGACTCACATGTGCTTCCCCACAGGATAATTTCATTGTCAAGGAAAATGAATAAGACAAAGAGAAAGCTAGGATAGTTATCCACACACAGAGGAAATGCTTTGTTTGCTTGTTTTATGTTAGGCAGGATTGAAACATGTGGTACTCACCTGCCATCTAAAATGAGACAGTTCTTGAACTCAGTCTCTGACTGGATACCAACTGTGCAGTAACAAGCTTCTTTGTAAGGATGTTTTCTTATGATCAAAACTCGCCAGTTTGGCGAAACACAGAAAACATTGACTCAACGTGTGGCAGCTGTGAAAAAGGCAAGGGATTATTAGGAAAGGTTTCAGAAATAAAAACTGTCAATATCACTTTGCTTTTATACAAACGTGGAGCATCTGCAGTTGGAATACAGTGTGCAATATTATAGGGCTGGAAAAGGTGCACAAAAGGGCAACAGAAATTATCAGTCTTCTCCAGGAGAAATGTCTGTTTAGTTTATCCCTCCCCTTAAAAAAAAAAAAGCAAGTAAGGGGGAGGCATAATAGATACGTAGAAATACATTTTTCCTCCCTCTTTCACAATACTAGAATCTGAGGTCAACCAATGGAGCAGAGTGGTGGGAGATTCGGAATTTTAGCTTAGGAGAAGAGAGAATGTGAATGAAATAAGATGTGATGTGGAGAAATTGGTGTGTGTATGTGTATGTACGATGGAGTGGGGGAGAAGAGTTTTCTCCCTCTCTCATAAAACCACAACTGAGGGTCACCAATGAAACTTTAAGGAGACTCGGGGCAAAGAGATACTTCTCCAAACAATGCATGGCTTGTAAAATCTGCTGCCGAAAGATGTGATACCAGTTACTGGAGTTATTAAGGGCTATTGCCTTCATGCGCTGATTGTGTACATCAGATTGCCACTGTTAGAAACAGGATGCTGGGTTAGAAGGATCTTTGGTCTGTCTCATTAAAGGCTTTTCTTAACACAGAACCATGATTGTGTGTGCGCGCCATGTTTGCCGAACACATAAATATTCAAAATGTGAAAACTTGCCACTCAAAGTGAGCTGAATTTGATAAGTGATGGGTTGGTTAAAACACCAATTCTTCTACATAGTGTACTCAATTCCCTGTATCCCCCCCTTAGTATAATGAGTGTTTAAAAACTAGCAAATAGAGTCCTAAAAATGTAATTGTAGCTTGGTAGCACTATTAAATATGTATACGGTGGTCTTTTTGACAATTGTATTAATCCTTTTATAAAGTCTTCAGAAGTTTCATCACAGAGGCATGGATGCTGTTTTGATCTATTTATTACTCTTAAGTGTTCAGAGAACTGTCCCTATTTTCTAATTAACACTTTTAAAGATAAAAAGCTATGTATTAAATCAATCTGAATGATGGTTGTTTGTGAATCCCACAAGATAAGGCAATTTGCATGTTCACTTTGTACTTACAAACTAAATCTGCACATCTCCAAAGCAGCTCCTTATAATGTAAACCTTTTGTGAGTATTTGTAACTTAAAAGTAAGTTTGGCCTAGTACAGAGGCGGTGCCAATTATCTAAAGGACTTCTTTACCGAACATGATTGAGATACAAAATTATTAGGTTGTTATTTTATATTGTTTGTGGAGGAATTTGAGGAAACTTCTTTGGGAACGTTAAGTGCTCTGGTGTTAACTTGCTTTATTCTTCTTTTTCTCTTTTAAATGTGTTCATAACCTGCTTTCTGAACAATAGCTAAGAGGGGGGTGGGGGGAAGGTAGCTAGTCATTCTTTCATTTGAATTTCTTTAATGATAATTAAATTATTTATTGGGGAATACACCCATGGTTTCTCTGTTTGAACAGTAATTTTTACCATGTATACTTCATTGTTTAGGGGAAGAAAATACTCTGCTCTGAATTATTCTGATTTGGGTTTTGTTGTTTGCAGCTATTATTGTTGGTTCTCCAGTAGCGATGATTCAGCATTGCATAAAGATGATTATGGAATTAGACAGTGCAGAACAATGGCACAGTTCCCAAAACAAATGCAAAAACCCTTTGCTCACATATAGGGATATTTTAATCTTTTCATGTTCAAGGGCTTAGCTTCCTCATGCTCATTCATACATTTTCCCCAAAGATCTGGGAACAAGAGGAGGAACTACGGGAGTTGCTTAGGAAAAAAGGGATCAGCAAGGTGATTTGCCTACCTAGTCCAGTACTGTCTGCTGTGATTGATGGCAGCTCTGCAGGGACTTAGGCAGAGGGAGACTTTCCCTGCCACCTGCTACCTGAGATCCTTTTAACTGGAAATACCAAGGTTTGAATCTGGGACTCTTTGCATGCAAAGTGTGTGCCCTGTTACTGAGCTTATGATCCTTCCACCAGCCAACCAACTTGATTTGTTTACCTTAGTAGTTTTCAGCTTCCCTCATCAACTTATTCACTGTGGTACCCCTGTCTGTATGTCTGCCATAGAACTCCTGAGCCTTCTCTAGAGCAGTGTTTCCCAACTGGTGTTTCGCGGCACACGAGTGTGCCGTGAGACGTTGCCTCGTGTGCCGCGAGATGCCTGGAGGGAGGCGGGCGAGTCGGGCGGCGAGAGGCGGGGCAGCGGTGGCGAGGAGAGGCCGCGCCTCCTGCTGCTGCCTGGCGCTCCTCCTCGCAGCCGGCAGCGCTGCCTGGGCGCCTCCGCGCGACTCTGCCTCGCTGGGTTTGGTCTCCCAGCAGAGACGGGTCACACGCGCCCCTCCCTCCCTCCCTCAGCCTGCGCGGAGGGAGAGCCAGAGAGAGGCATCGCTCCTGCGCGGCGGGAGAGGGAGCAGCCGGAGCGATGCCCCAAACGAACGCATGGGACCGGAGGGGAAATCCTCTCCGAGGCGGATTGAGCGCAGCTGAGAGAAGCCTTTCGAGGAGCTGCCGTGTCCCCTGGAAACCCCCTTCCCAGCTCTGCCTCAGCCGCCGCCGCCTCAGTTGCCGCCGTCCCTCAGTCCCTCGCTCTGCTGCCTCCTCCCACCCCCAAAGCTTGGAGGTTCCCCAGCAAGGGGGAGGGAAAAAACTTTCACTTTTGTGCGTCCCTCCCGGCGTGACGCTGCGCGCTGACGTCACGGGGCGGGGCTTTAATGGTGGTGTGCCGCGAGATTTTTTTTCAGTAAACAGGTGTGCCGTTGCCCAAAAACGTTTGGGAAACACTGCTCTAGAGCAAGGGTGCCAAAACTGTGGTCTGTGGACCACAAGCTTCATTCAGGCAACCCACAGCACATCTCCACTGAATATTCGGAAAGATTTCTGATTGCATTTCTGCAGCTTATTTTATTTCTTATATTGTGCTTTATTGTATTTCAATCAGAATTCTCTGAAATGCAGATTGCAATGCAATATATTAGAACTAAAACAAGCAATTAAAAACATCCAGCACACCCCATTATCACCGCTACAGCAGACAGAATAATAATTAAGTGGTCTGCAAAGACTACTGGCAATTTTCAAGTGGTCCATGGGGAAATAATATTTGGGCCCATCAGGTAAGGAAGAAAAGTTGGTCTTCACTCTTAAATCAACATGTATTGCAAATGTACCCTAGTGTTGTAACTTATCTTTTCTAAGCACTTCAGACCCACAAGCAGGAATTCAATTTCATAACTGGTATGAAATATATTGCCATGGAGCTTACCAGCAGACCTGCTTCCTGATGGTTCGATAACAGGGTATATATAGGAAGGCTGAAGAGATGGCTGGAGGCCATGATTGTCCCACTCCGTCTGTCGTCTTCAGTGCGGATCTATCTTGCTCCATAAATATATCTTAACAGCAAGGACTAAGATGGTCTTCACACGTGTCTCTTCAATCACAGGAAAGCTGAATAGAGAGAGAGAGAGAAGTATCTGAAGCAAATGTGTGGCCTCCAAATGGTCTGAGTTACCTGATTCTGCAGCACTGATCAGTGGGCTAATCAGTCCCTTAGGTCACTGGGTGTGAGAGTGGAATACAAGAATAAGCACATCTTTTAAAACAATAAATGTTGACTTTTCCGTATGAGGGTGGCAGGGTCCGCTGGCACCATTTCTGAAGGGCCCTGGGTGCTTGGGCACCCACAAAATTTTGACACCATAACGCTCTTCGGTGCCATAGTAGCGACTTGGCTGGGGCCTCCACTTGCACTGCAGGGCCTCTGTTGGGGCCTTCCTGAGGCCACAACAGGCCACATCGGGCCCTCCCACGGCCATGCTGGGACCATCAGGCCTATCCACAGCCACAGCAAGCCTTGTGGGCCTTCCTGTGGCCTCTGTGGGCCTCGTCAGGCCTTCTGGACGCAGTGGCGGGTCCTTTTGAGCCCCACTGGGCACCCACAAAGTGGGGCAGAACCTTGGCATACAAACTTCTGTATGTTTAAAGTATTGCTGTAAATTTTTGTTGATTTTCTTGTGTGGTTTTTTTGAGCTATGAGGGTGTTTTTTTCTTTTTTTTACAATCAAGCGGGAAGCAAGTATATGAGTGGAGGGGATAAGCACCCTAGTCACCCGCGCCATCCCTGATTGCATTGCCTCCTGATCCCACAGCTGTCTGTAGCGGTTGGGTACTGGTCTTTCTGGAGGCGCCTCGCATACTTTGAGGATTGAAGGGACTGGCTGCCCTTTTTTCATATAACACCTGAAGAGCATTTTTGAGGGCCTGCTGCCCAGCAGGCTATAAATGACCAAGCTATAAATGCCTAGAATATGCAAACAAACAAACGAACGAAATGGTGAATAAATTTGCTGCTTGAATAATTTGCCTTGGTACAATAAGGGATTATCTACGTTGAGAAACGTATTTTCTTTCAGAGAGAAACACTCCTCATGACATTAAAGGGATTTTTTGCCTTTTAAGCTTGCCTGTATAGTTCAAATGTATAATTGTCCCTTAGTGATTGCCACCGAGGATCTAGCTAAATTATACGTCCTGCTGAGGGATTGTCAGGCCTGGACCAAGATAGATTTTGCTGCCTGAGATGGAGCAGCAAATGGTGCTCCCTTCCCTATCCAGAGGCTGAGTCAAGGTTGATGGTATCCAAGGCCGGTCAAGATATTTGGGCACCTGAGGCAGAAAATTCCACAACTGACTCGCTTTCTTGGCAGAAAAAAACACAACAAAAGTAAATCAAGTAACAACTTGCTGCCATTTCATGACACTCAAGATCAGCTGCCTCCCCCCCCCATTCTTCTTAAATGGCCCCCCTGGCCCTACCTTTTTTTTTTTAAGGAAGAAGATATTACTAGAGACACTCTTCTCCCACCCCCACCCAAGGCGAAGGGCAAAGTGTCAGAAATCTATTGAGTGGGGCAGTTTGCTCACATTTCCAACACGGGGGTCTTACGTGGGAAAGACTTGTGTGTTGCTGCATATTGCCAATACATCACAGTCTCTGCTGGAACACTTGCCACAAGGACTAGATGAAGGAAAACTTTTGTTATAAAAAGTAAAAAATATATTAAAAAGGAGAGGAGAGGGGGCAGGAGCCTAGTGCACTGTAGGTTCTGTAGGAAACAGAGCATATTGGTGGTTATGTTAATAAAAGCACTGTGAGTTTTCACAGTGGATCAGCAGAAAGTTATGAAGCACAGGTGTTTCTGTAATTGTGATACATTGGGAAACTTCACACTGTTAAATGAGCCTCAGCTTCACACTTCCACCTGTGTGATGTGGAAATGTACTGTTTGTATGCCAGGCTATAATAGTCAACATGTAGGAGTGATTGCTGGCAGGTTCAAGACCTGCTAGGGTGAGGTTTTCCCCCCACCTCTCTCTCTCCCATTTGCTCCTTTATTCAGGGAACTGTATAATTTCTGCATTTATATTTACCACAGTTGTAAAGTGGGAAATATGTGTTATACATGCTGGTAAGATAATTATAAGAACCCACAAAAACAGAATTAAAACCCTAGGATGAGAGAAAGGGAATCTTTTTCTTTCTTTATTTATTTTTAAAAAAAGAGTGCATTTTAAAAAAAAATGAATTTCAAGCCTGGAAAGTGCATATGACCAGGAAGGCAGTTTGGGAATTTTCATATCAAAATGATGCATTTTTATGCATTCTGAAGCCTACCAAAGCATTGATATTGCCTATATATAAGAAACCCTTATAGAATGTGAGAGGTATGAACTCTGGATTGGGTTTCTAATAGGATATAGCCAATGAGTTAATTCAGTTGTTTAGACAAAAAGAGGTCATATGCCTCATTCCCTTGGGTTTCAGAAAATAGAAGGGATGCATGCAAGGTTGGGTAATCCACATTTATTTGAGTTGTGATGGGGAAGCCTGAGTTGGTACTATGGTATAAGATGTTCAGTTGTTCAGGGAAGTAAATAGTCTACAGCAGCATTCACCAACCTGGTACAACTCCCATCAGCCTCTGCCAGCACAGTTGGCAAAGACTGGTCTACATTCCCTCACACAGCGGTGGATTGAGGTCCGGGCAGAGATGAAGAGGTGTTTTTAGATGGGCCTGCAAGGAACTTTTGAACTTGCGCATGCAAAGCAAGTAAGGAAGTCTAAAGAGGAAGAAGCTGAAGAAAGGATGTGTTAAGAATGAAGCAAGGCTAGAAAGGAGCAGAGGATGCAAGGAAAGGAAGCAAGGAAAGGTTAAATGTGTGTGTTTTTTGGGGGTGGGAGTTCTGAAGAAACTTTCACAGAATCACTGAATTGTAGAGTTGGAAGAGACCTTGAGCATCATCTAGTGCAACCCTCTGCAATGCAGGAATATACAGCTGCCCCATACAGGGATCGAAACTGCAACCTTCATGTTATCAGCACCACGCTCTAACCATAGTGCTTTTAGGTAAGTGGGCTAGGGAGGTTCTCATAGCCATTGTGAGAACAGGATGCAGAATTGGATGGGTCATTGGCCGAATCCAGCAGGCCTTTCTTATGTGCAAACGCTACAACTGACTATGAACCAACAGAAAGAGGGTGTTCCCCTATATTCCTTACCACCACACCCTTCCAAGGTATTACGTGTTAAAGGTAAAGGGACCCCTGACCATTAGGTCCAGTCGCGGACGATAAAGCAAAGCTCATCTCACTTTATTGGCCGAGGGAGCCGGTGTACAGCTTCCAGGTCATGTGGCCAGCATGACTAAGCTGCTTCTGGTGAACCAGATCAGCGCACGGAAATGCCGTTTACCTTCCCGCAGGAGCGGTACCTATTTATCTCCTTGCACTTTGACGTGCTTTCGAACTGCTAGGTTGGCAGAAGCTGGGACCAAGCAACGGGAGCTCACCCTGTCGCAGGGATACGAACCACTGACCTTCTGATTGGCAAGTCCTAGGCTCTGTGGTTTAACCCACAGCCCCACCTTAACGTGTCCCTTAACACATCCCTTAACGTGTTGCATTACTACAAAAAGGGGTGTGCGTGTCTTATTTCAGAGATTAGTTGCCTTTGTCTTCTGGCATCCCAGGAGGGATTTACATCCCCCCCCCTTCTCATAATAAAGCCCTGCAAGTACACTTCAATCCCAGCCACCAGTAGCTTTCCTGTTAATCTCACCTGCTGGAGTAGAAAATGAGAGACAGCCTCTCAGATAGCTGCAGAGACTGCTCTGGGCAGGAAAGGTTATCCCCAACATCTTGAATTACATCTGCAGGAAGGGAAGGGAAAGACCTGTTGCCCTCTCACAGCTGTTATGTGCTCTCAGCAATTTGTTCTCTGCAGGAGAGCATATTCTCCATATCTAGACATGCAGAAGGACTTCAGAAAAGAATGGCTTATTCTATCTCGGAAGTGCTGTAACAGATTGGTGGTTGCAAGAGATGCATTTTAGGAACAAATGGCCACCGAGAGTCTCCTAAGTCCATGAGAGAGAGAAGGCTGAAGAGACTGTGCCTTCTAGAGCATTTGGCAGTGGTCATAGCAGGCAGCAGGGTCTACAAACCTTATTAGTGCTTACCAAGAAACCTTAAAATTACCTAGCAGATTCTGAACCACTCATCACTAACCTTAAGGAATGACCTTTGAAGCACTCTGGGCCACTCTCATAAGTGACCAACAGAATTGCAACTTTCTATGGCATGGTGTGAAGCAGCAGGGGCTACATAACAGAAGCTAGCAATGGTCATGGCTAAGTATCTTAAATTGTTTTAAATGGGTGAAGGCAACCCTAATGATGTGAAGTACCTGTAACATCTATAGAAACATGTTCCCTGGTTAGTGGACATATACATCAGTCCAAAGCAATGGCTTACTTAAAGGTAAAGGTACCGCTGACCATTAAGTCCAGTCGTGACCGACTCTGGGGTTGCGGCGCTCATCTCACTTTATTGGCCAAGGGAGCCAGCATACAGCTTCCGGGTCATGTGGCCAGCATGACTAAACAGATGAATGGCGAACCAGAGCAGCGCACGGAAATGCCGTTTACCTTCCCGCCGGAGCGGTACTTATTTGTCTCCTTGCACTTTGACGTGCTTTCGAACTGCTAGGTTGGCAGGAGCAGGGACCGAGCAATGGGAGCTCACCCTGTCGCGGGGATTCGAACCGCTGACCTTCTGATCGGCAAGTCCTAGGCTCTGTGGTTTAACCCACAGCGCCACCCACGTCCCCAATGGCTTACTTACTTATTGTTTAATTTTTATCCCACCTTTTCACCCAGGAGCTCAAGGTGGTATACATGGTTCTGCCCCTCCTGATTAAATCCCCACAACAACCCTGTGAGGCAGGTTAGGCTGAGAGGCAATGACTGGGCCAAGATCACCAAGTGAGCTTCATGGCTGAGAGGGGATTTGAACCCAGGTCTCCCAGATCCTAATCTGACGTGCTAACCACTACACCACACTTAGTGTCAGGAGTATAACATACAATCAAACAAGAGATGGACAAATG